AATCCTCAATATACTCCGGGAGAGGGAGAGCCGCTTCATTCAAATGTGGACTTTTATATTTAGGATCAAGTCATTGGCGGAAAAGGCCCTAGCGGTTATTTTTTTGATGGTGGAAATTTGGCGGGCACCTTGAGAAGTGGGGATAGAACTCTATTTCAAAGAGTTAGAGATGGGGAAGGAGGGTCACGTCAATCAAATTTGACACCAGAACAACTTGAAACCGTAAGACAATTGACGTTAAATGAGGCGAGACGCGAGTCAGCGCAACGTGAGACGGCAATGAAAGCCCAAATGGAGACAATGAGGAAAGAGCAACAATGACAAATGGAGGTCATAGCGAAGAGGCAAGCTGATATGGAGCAACAAATGAGACAACTTATGCAAGGGTTTGGTGGAAATCCAAACTTTCGCGGTCAAGAGCTGGAGGATGACGGAAAGCGGAGATAATTTTGACATTGATAATTATGATCTGTAAACTTTAATTTTTTTTTATTTTACTTTCAAATTTGAATTTGTATACCATACTAATTAATTCTTAAATTTATAATTTTAGTTTATTAATTTTATTATATTAAATTTAATATATTGAATTTATTATATATTGAATTTATTATTTTAATTTATTATATTGAATTTATTAAATTGAATATATAAAAGAAAAACAAATTCAGTTATTAAATTTATAAAAAAAAAACATTAGTGATGTGATTTTCACGTCATAAGTTGTGACGTGAAAATCACGTCGCAACTTACTTTTCATATAAAAAAAACACAAAAATAGAAGGCAGACGTTGTTAAAAAAAACACATAATTGAAACTATTTAGTGACGTGAAAAACACGTTGCAACTAAAGTAACTTTATGCATGTTGCGTCTGCTTTCTTGCAGAGTTGTGTTTTCTATAAAACTTTGTTGCGACGTGATTTTTACGTCACAACTTTGTGATATGAAAATCACGTCACAAACTGTTTATCACCCCCTCCCTAGCCACGTGAGCGCACACGTCGCAAATATTGTGTAGTGACGTGATTCCTCATGTTGTGACGTGAGATTCACGTCGCAAATGAGTGTTTTTGTTGTAGTGAAAATATGGTTTCTCTCTCACTTGTGTGGTTATTTCTAAACTCTGGTGTGATGATTCTCTGATCCCCTCATGATCCAACAGGGCTTTAGAGCCTAGTTCGACTAGGCATCCTTGTATTGAAAGTCTTCCTGACAATGGTGTTCAGGCAGCGTGTTCCGTTGAGGCCATCTAATGGCGGTGCAAGTAGATATGTATGAAAAAAGCTTTTATTTGAGGGGAGCATAGCCATAAGAATGGATGGACTCACACTTGAAAGGGAAATTGTTGATATATCAAGTGTGAGAATGAGTCTCATATCCGATGAAAAAGTGAATGTTGAATATTTTATAAGTGAGAAGACTCATAATTCCAATACCTTAAAATTTTAGATTAATATATAATATCACTGACTCATATAATTACTCTTAAAACCTTACGTGATTATTCCCGAATTCCTAGTGAAGCAACCATTATCGTATTTTTCTCTTTTCAGTTACATATGCAATGTGCCTATAAAGTTAAATTTTCATTTTCAATAAAAATGAACAAGTCATTCTCTTCATTTGCATGTTTTTCTCTTTTAAGTGTAATGTGTCTATAAAACTAAATTTTCATTTTTAATAAAAAAAACAAGTCATTCTCTTCATTTACTTAAACTTTAATTTTATTCATTGGTGCCTACCAGCAAGGTATAACACATTTCATGCCATTATATGAAAGAGTCAAAGACACACATTCGAAAATTTTAAAAAGCCAAAATAGTATATCAAATTCTTTTCAAACTGCAAAATAAATAAAAATACTACAAAGTTTTGTGCGATGTTGGATTATGATAGTTTTGAGTGGCAATACCATTGAAACATATGACGAGTAAGAAAGAGGCACGTAATGAATAGCGTGAGAAATTTAGCAACCTAGGCCACTACTTTATTATGATAAAAAAAGGCCACAACTTTTTTCCTTAAAAATAAACAATTCATATAAAGGGAAGCCAACCAATAATGGAAAATTTGTAAAGATGAATTAGTGTTGGATGTGAGGAGATCTATTAGAAAGATTTCAAGTTTTGTATTAATTATAGAGTTTTGAAAATACTTTTCATAATGTGTCACATTTTATTTTACAAATTGATTTCATAACGATGAGTTAAATGTAATTAAAACATATTTTAATATGGTATCAGAACAGATCAATTAGATTATAAGTTGTCGATCATTTATCAATTCATATCGATTTGATCATGAGATGTCCACCATTTATCAAATCATATCTATCACATCATTGTCTTCTACCATTTACCAAATTCTATCACTTGAATAATATACTGTCCACTCTTTATATTCACGCATTAAGTTGAATTTACAATTATTTTATACAAAGTACTATTTCTTTGTTAGAATTGTCAATGAATTGAATTAATTCGAAAATAATTTAAAAATTAGTTCAACAATTAAATTATTGAATTATATTCATGAATCAAATGAATTGAATATAAGTGAAAAACTAACTTTATTAACTAAATGAGCTGAACTTGAACTATAGATAATTTGATTCGTTAGGTTTATGAATCAACTCGATCATATATAATATTATTATATTGTCTTTAAGAATAGATTTAAAAATTCACTTCAAATCTTAACCTTATATTTTTTTATCTAACGGTTTTAATTGAAAATTTATATTCTCAATTGAACATGATATTCTTAAAAATAATTACACAAATAAAATCAACATCGTATAAATTATGTATTTTTTTTAAAACTTAAAATTAAAGGCAACCTATAATATTATTTTATGCATACTATGTGACATTCTATATTTGGGAATATTACTTGTTTGGACAATTATCCTACTATGTTTTGTCGGTTTCTTGTAAGTTCCAAAACCAATCAGCTTTTAGCTTTTGAGGGCTCCTTTCTACTTGGACATATGCTCAATCATTTTTGGAACAATGACTCATACCATTATCGATAAGTTTTAATCAGTTCTAGGGTTTCGATGAAGCTTCCATTATTCAATTCCACCATAAATTATTTTCTTTAATATGTTTGTAACAATATTTTCGAGTGATAGTGAGATAAACCACTCCATGAGAATTTTAAAAATTGATGTTTCTATGGAAAGAGTATTGATTCATTGCTATTTGTCTACAAGAATTATATAATATAATTTTGACCGTTTTTGGTGCTGAACTTTATGTGTGGTTGTTTAAAAATAAGAGTTAAATGCAGTTTTGATCTTTTAAGTTTTTCAATTGATTGATTTTAATTTCTAATTTTCAATTGTTTGATTTTGGTCTCTAAATTTTTTCAATTGTTTGATTTTGACCTTTTAAACTTCAATTGTTTAATTTTGACTCTTCAAATTTATCTCATTTTATATTTGATATAGTCCTCTAATAAATATAGACTAACCTTGGTTTTTTTTTTCTTTCTAATTTTCTTCACTACAATACTATTTTTCTTCTCTTTTTTTAATTAGGTAAGTTTTGAAATATCTTGAAAAACTTAAATATTCATTTAACACATGACTAATGATAAATTGTTTTGACAATAACAAAGATAGATCACTAATTAATTAAAACAACGAATTCTTTATTCAATAACTCTCTCATATTTAAGTACAAAGTCTCAATGTCTAACAATCCAATTGGTCATATAGAATTTCAATCTTTCTATAGAGGATATGTAAGTTTGTCTCTATATTCTAAAATGACTTTATTAAAAGCTTCACACATGTTATTGACCAAATAGTCTCTAACTTTAATTAATTAGTGATTTATTTTTTTGTTGTAAAAAAAGAAGAAAAAGTAAAAAAAAAAATTTAGTTTACATGTCACTAGGGGACTCTTAAATGCAAACAAGAATAAATTTGATGGATTAAAATCAAGCAATTGACAAACTTAAGGGGTCAAAATCAAGCATTTAAAATTTAGGGGACCATAATTAAGCATCTGAAAAACTTGGGGACCAAAATTAAATAATTGAAATTTGGAGGGACAAAATCAAACAATTGAGAAATTTGGAGGGCCAAAATTGCATTTAAGTTTTAAAAATATGTATATTACATAATGTTTATGCATGATATTAGGTCGATTTAGAGAGATCGGACAATTTGAATGCTTTATTTAAGTGGTCTCTTGAATTTATATAACAAAGTGTACATATTTATTTTTTTAAGAAATTAAAATGGATTAATAAACATGACAATCATGTAGCACAAGATATACCACAGAGGTCTCAAGAGTTTACAACAAAACAATTGCATAGAACTTAAAACAAAGGCTCAAAACAAAGAGCTTACAACAAAGAACTACACCAGAAACACCACTGATACTGTTACCATAACCCCAAACAAACAAAAAAGGATTATGCCACCATAAATGAGATCCAAAAATAAACTTACTACGGACCTTAGCCTTTAGCCACCAATAAGAAAACAATTTAACTCCATCTATCATCTGAACAATAACTGTAACTTTGGAATTAAAGAACCTGTTATTCCTTTCTGTCTACAAAACTGAAATAGTAGCGAGTCAGAATAACCGTAAAAACTCATGACTTACGGAATTTCCACCTGAATAATGAGTAAACTGAATATAGTGATCCTTTAAATGAAAAAGATATACCCCATCAATACCAATCTAAGACCGAACCTGCTGCCAAAATGAGCTGAAGAATTGACAGTGAATGAATAAGTGTTGAGTTGATTGCACCAAGCCACACCCAACCACACAATGTTGATCCTCAAGAGAAATAATTTCACACTTAATCAAATGACACCCCCTGTTGCACTGTCCAATTAGTGAGCATATGGTATACATCACTAACAGTATATGTCATACCTTCCGAGAGCATCCACCCTCATTCATCGTGAATATTATCCTACAAAGAAACATCAACTAATAACAACCTACATTGATCCTGCAATTCCTCCTCCTAGGCTAACAGTCTCCTCCTCCACCTACACGCCCCTCCTCCTTCCCCCCAACCTAGTATAAACATATTCACTACCGACTCCCCTTTAAGCTCCGACAACTGATAAAGACGGTTGAACCTCTCACATAAAGGCACTTCTCCTACCCAAGTATTCGTCCAAAAAAGAGTATGAACATCGTTCCCCGCCTTCTTACGCATTTTCTCAATTAAACCAACTTCTCACATCTAGACCCCCACTATCCTGAATCCGACACACATTTCGCCACGAATTAGAACAAGGTCTTCCTCCTTCTTTAACCCTCCCCACTTCCATCCTATACCGAGCTTCCAACACCTTAACCCAGAACCCATCCCTATCAACTAACATCCTCCAACACCATTTCCCTAACAATGTTATATTAAACTCCTTTGTAAGCATGTGACAAAAATCTATATCTATAGGCAGTGGCTTTTAAAAAAATCCACAATACTAGATTATTGACCATAAAACTCTACGGAGGATTAGCAAATGTTGGAGTATGTTTCAATGAATGGATTTGTACATTTTCAATGAATGAGTTTTGTAGTAACTAGTTTTAAAATAAGAGTCACTGTCCTTAATTTTTATCCTAAGGAAGAGAATATAAAGGTTAACCCTAAAAAGTCAGAGATTCTGAGTTTTTTAGACTCGGTTCTAGGCGAAGGGAAGGTGTTAGGTACCCCTCATCTACCTTGTTCACAAGGATACTAGGGTTAGAGGCACAATTTTTAGAGAATAGGATTTTAACGTTTTATTAGGGGAACTTGCAATGATTTTAGTCGTATGCCTACGTATCCTCTTAGGAGGAATCAGAGTTCCAATTCATATTTCGTAGTGGGTTGTGTTTTTTAAAGGATTGTGTAGAATTGATTTCGAATTTATCTTTAAACCTTGTATGGGTTTTGTAAAAGAGTGATCGTAGACGCAGTTCGCAATTAATTTCAATAGAAATTCTCCTTAATCCTTTTTTGAAAATATCTTGGTTTTTTTATTATGTTAGTTGAAAAAATATATTTTTGATTGGTTAGCTATATTATGAAGTGGAACGGGGGAGTCTGATATAGTCTCCTCATCACGAGGTCAGATATTGGTCACATGTCGCTCACGGATGTAGTAATTTGTGAGTTGCATAGATTTTAATTGTTTGATTTTGAATAATAAATTGGTAGACAATGTGTCGACCGATTTAATTACTCGAAGATAGACATCTTATTATTATAGAACGTTTGAATTACTTTTTTTATTTAAGAAAATATTTGATATTTTTTATAATCCCTAAATCAAATAAATTAGTAAATTAAATAAACTTTATTATCATTAAAATATTTATAATAATAATAAAAAAGAGAGGTGTTAATTAGTTTGATTTAGAAAAAAAATGAAATCATGTGATGAGTTGATTTGAATAGATATAAGAAGGTTTAGATCTATTCGGAAGAAATCCACCAGCTTGGATCAGATCTTCCGCGATAGCTATAGCAAGATGAATGGATAATGCTGAACTTGGATTTGAATTTGAGTTCGTCTTAGTTGGTAGTCATGCCTTGAGATTTTTTTTGTAGTTTCTCATGGGCATATATGATTTGAATGTAATGCATGTTTGATATGATTAAGTTTGATGTATATATGATGTATGGTATGTATGCTTAACATGATAATGTTAGGAATTGAAATGATGCAATGGTTGATAAATGAAATGCCTCTATTATTTGAATTGCAGAACCAATGCTTAAGGCAGGGTATCAGCCAAGAACCATTTTTTCTGAGAAGTCATGCCAATTAAGGGTTGGGCTTTTGAAAAGATGTGTCAGGCGGGAACTGGGCTTTGCACCAATGTTAGTAGAACTACTAGAATAGTGTCATCTTGGTGGCTTGGAAAGGTGAAATATATAGCAAGGTCGCTAACATTGGTAAGGTTACCTAGAGACATTAATCGGGTGATTTGGAAAGTGTGAGGCTGCTCACGACTTTTACATAATGCTGCTTACGTATGGACAAATAAATGAGGTTGTGTGAGGTTGCTCACGCCTTAGTTTGACGAAGAACGCTTGTATCATAGACTCACTGAGAGGGATATTCGGAGATACGTTAGAGATTATAATAGTGACTCCCCTATAAATTGACTCTATATTTTTACGGGGTCTTAAGTCTTGGTCTATGATATGTCATGTATGCATGAAGATGCAGGCGTTAATGCGTAGAATAACCGACCAATGCATGTAATGGGTGACTTGGATATGCGTCAATGGACGTTGAAATTTCCATGTGCCAATGAGAATCAAGCTCTTTGTTAGATCCATGTTGTCGGAAGTCGTCAGCCGGATGAGATGATAAGCATAGCTTGATTCTAGATCGAAGTAACCTAATGAATGCATGAAAATGGTTTCTGCAGACTCGTGTGCTTTTGATTGATGCCCCTATGATGGGTCGTGGATGATTAAAGCATAGAGGTTTTCCTATGCAACAAGGTTTCTTGTCACATGATGGTTAATTGTTATGCTATCATGATTTCCCGATACTTAATTTGAACTCGAAGATTGCTGATGTAGGAGAAAGATCCAATGGAGATTATGAAAGTACACAGAGAGCTTGCCTATATGTGGATTGTCTTTCCCTAATTTTTTGGTAGGGTCTTGGAGGAGATTCTCATTGATGTGAGCTTGGAAATAGTTTGATCATAATATGAATGACCCCACTATTTTACACTATGCCCCTGATTAAAAGACTCTTGAAATTTTTTGGCTTTGATGAACCATTTTGAATTAACTCCTTTGGATCGAGCCTCGCAGCGGTTTACCCCAGCATTAGAAATTTGAAAGATGTGCCCCTCAATCTCCAGGATCTGGAGGAAGTAGTCTTAGGAAGAACTAAGACCTTACCATAAACTTGACATAGATTACCCCAAGTATTCGAAGCTTGAAAATTTTGCACTTGAAGTTGCTTGCAGGGGAATTTGGACCCTACGTGCAGTAGGATGAACTTGGTACTACTGCCCCAACATTTGAGTCTTGGAAGGTTGCCCCTGATTATCCAGGCCTTAAGAGGTTTGTCAAAATGAAGAAACCGAGTCATACCCTATTGTGATATGACTTTATTAAGGAATGCTCCTTCGAAAGGTATGCCCCTGATTGATTAGTGATTTGAAACTTGATCCAAGTTGATTGAGTCTCGGAATGATCACCCCTTGTCAATATTATCTTCATGTGATATACCTCTACAATCATTAGTCTTTCCTATGATTATATGGTTCTTCCTTAGATGCTTTTCCCCCTGAAATGGATCGCTTTTGATTAAACCAAATTTTTTTTGAGATCTCCTTGATTCTAAGTATTGATTTGTAGATAAAATTGTACATTTTGAAAAATTAATTCCATTTGATGCACCTGCAAGTTTTGAAATTGAAGTTTGAATATAAATGGATGGTTAGAGATGGAGATTCGAAGAAGTGGTTAGTAATAATTTTAACAACCATAGGAGTCAGTTTAACACAAATCTTGAACTAGCTTCAATTAGGACTTTTGAAGGTTGTAATATGGCCTGGTTCACGGTTAAAAAAACAAAAGATTGCCTTTTACTGGACCATGATATTAGATTGTCTCCCAGAAATTGGCAGCTTCCAAAAGTTCTTTTTCTTTCTATTCTGTCTCCAGCGAGGTCAGTATCACATTACCCTACTAATTTGTATTATTTAGATTTTCTCTGTAGAGCTTCTATTCTACCTTCTTAATTACCTCTTCCTTTTCCAGAATGTGTGTGGGATACATAGGAGTTTTGGCTGGCTTACATTCTGACAAGTCAAATTTCTTCATAAGTTCTTTGACATACTTGCTTTGATGAATGTAGGTTCCTTCTAGAGTTTGATTGATTTGGATACCCAGAAAGAACTTGAGTTAGCCCATTAAGCTCATTTCAAACTCTTCCTGCATAGACTTAGCAAATTCTCTTCCCAAAGAGGCTTTAGTAGATCCAAAAATTATATCATTGTTCACTGTGTTTTCTGGTAAACAACCGCTGATCTTCCAATAAGGGTAACTTTTTGGTTACTCGCAAGATCTATCAGTTTGATCCTAGGACATATGCTAATTTGTGATGTTGTTTGGACATAAACGTTAAAGTGGGTGAAGAACGCACGTTCGACTGGGAAAGGGATGAGTTTGAGTGTAGAAAGTAAATAGAACAAAGGGGGTTGAGGAGAGTTTAAGTGCAGGAATCTAGGTAAAAATGCAGATAAAGTACAAACAAGGTAAAAGGGCAAGAAATGTAAAGAGAGAAATAAAAGACTTTGGTTGTAAAATATGGTGTTTCAAACGTATATTTTTCAGTATTCTTTCTCACGCAGTGGGTACTTGAATAGTATTGAATAATTTGTACGATCAGTTGAGCACACGGAAATCTACATAAACTTCCTATATTTATACTAAAACTAGGTAACCGTCGAGGAGTTGCCTTGCTCTAGGATGAAGACAAGTGTCTTATGCATGTGCTTCGACCCCTCTTTTCACGCCACGTTGCTTTCCTCAACTGCCAAGCGAACTGCTTTTCCCTCCTTTCTTTAGATTCAAAATCTTCTGGGGCAAATACAAAGTTCCCTTCTGGTCGAAGACCTTGGAGTCCCTTCAGTCAAAGGGATTGAGAACCTTCTGGTTGAAGACTCGATTTAACTTAGAATTTCTCTAAGTACTTTTCTACTTTGTTGAAGCCTTTCCAACTTAGACTTGTTCAATCTATTTTTTGCCCATAAGGCCAACTTGTTGTAGGTGTCAAATTTAGGAGCTAACAAATTGCCCCCCAAGAATATCAGTTTCGACGCAAGGAGATATGATTATTCTTTGAGATTCCCATTCGACACCTATCTTTCTCTTTGACCACAGAAATCGCTTATGTGCTTTTCGCCGTCTACCAACCCCTGCTGGTATTTAGAGCCATCATTACCTTTTTTTCAACACGTCACTGTCAATCAGCCGTTACCACACTGCCATGATGGCCATTATCCCTATAACCTAGGAAAGTATGGCAAACATTTTCATTTCTCGTACGATAACTACTTTAACATTCGCCACGTGCCCCACTAACTCTGCAGCATTAAATGGTCTTGGGATAAACACTATTTCCTGAACACTAGAAATAGACGAATCCTCTTTTGGGAATTATTTTACAACTCCTAGTATTCTTCACTTTCTTGCAAAGAAAAAACCTTAACAACTTCATCTTCTTCGCTCTTTCACTACTACTTTCAGTCATGGCTTTCCTTTCCAATTCACCCAACAATCTAAAAACTAAGAACATTTCTGATCTCCAAAGACAACCAGAGGTTTTCTCCACTAACCCTGTACCTGTTTCGAATGGAGAACGAAGGGTCGTCTCTGAACCCATGGCCAAAGAGTGGCGTGATGCTTATG